GCAAAAATATGATAAATCATAAGTACTAAAATATTACTTTTTCAATCAACATTATAATATACTATGTCAATGAACCTACTTGATTCGCGAATGCAGCAATCTATCATTGTTCAGAGGTCCAGACATCCTTTACATAACGGATCCAGTTCTCGGAACTTTTGGAGAAATGCTTAGGTAGGTAGGTATGCACAATAACCTATATTGTGGTTATTCTCAATTCCCACTCTAACGGACAATGACGGTCCAACTGCAGTTATAACTTACAGTCTGCCGTTGCTAGCTCACAAGTTTCTAGCTATTATATCCCACTATAGAAGGTATAAGTACTATATCTACCTAATTAATAATTTCCACTGCAAACTATATTATCGTTGAAAACTTGTACTGACCGCTCACCGCTCGTCTAGCCAATTGGCAATAGGTATAATATGTAAAACGTACAGTAATATACATAAATATATATTATTATTATTATATTTATATAGCTGAGGACAAATTTAGTCGAACACTCGGAAAAAGATTCTTAAGTGTCGTCGACAGTCAACGAAACGCATCAGCAATTTTACGAGTGCATATATTGGACGGAACGCTTTTTAATTAATACACACAAAATGGAATTTTGTAATCTACATTCTCCAATTGCCCGGTCCACAGTTTTCCGAACTGTATATGTAATCTGAAAGTATGCAGCACCACGGTCGTGGTAGGTATCTATATCCATACTGAATTGCCAGTTATGTACCACGCTGTGTACTTGCCCTTCGTGTTTCAATTTATAATCATTGTTGAAATATATACTTCCACAGTCCATAAATAAAATATGCATTCCAATTTAATTCACTTCATTATTTACACTTATCGGACATTTTTGAACAAGTAATAATATTGGCTTAAACAAAATTCACCAGCGGGAGCAAAACAACGTTAACAATTTAAAATTTAAACATAGGTAATAATGATGGAAAATTAAAATAATTTATGACATCTATGTATAACGGGTATTAAACAAAATATCATGAACAATAGACCTACTACTGACCTACCTAGCTACTGTAGATTTGTAACTGTTTAGTAGTTTGTAGGTGCCTATGGGTGATGAAGGGTCGGGGCAATAAAAAATGCATTTGTCAAAAACTATTTTTGTTCATTATCATAATTTTCCAATTAAATCCCGTAAGTACATATTTTATGACTGCACGGGTACGACTCTGTGCGGACTGCGAAAGAAATTCACTACCTATTGAAAGTTGAGAATGATAAAACGCTAGACATAACCATAGTACCATACCCAGCATATAATTATTGAGTTTAGACAACCAATATATTATTTTAAATGTATAAATATTGTAATAATATTAGGTGTCTAAAATCTACTCATATACCTATATACAAATTTACCGACAACGCCCTAGGCGCCATGACGGTTGAGCAATAATTTTAGTAGGTACTTATACCTATACCTTACCAAGAAAAACAATTAAAAGTAAATAAAATATGCTTTATAATATCGAATACAATGATACATAAAAATACTGAAGTTATTATTTATTGAGTATTGACAGACGGTACTTTTAAAAGTTGTTAAAAATTTATTGCGAAATTCATCGAATGAAGATAAGTTAGAATATTTTACTTTTCATCAAACAATTATGAATTGAAATAAAAAATTGATTAACCTACAGCAAGGAGCTGCTAAATTCTGCTTAGGTGTTCTGCTAAATTAAATGTTAGATGTTATTAAGTTTTAATATTTGGTGGAAACTTCAAGTATCTAAGATTAAATGTTTTTGAATTACAACAAAATATCAAAAATTGATTGATGAAAATTCGTTAATTTATCGATGAAAATACTGTGTATTTCTGACTATTTTGAAATTACATTAATGAAACTTATAAGGAACTTTGTATTAAATGTTCAAGCTTTATTACCAAGTAAAAAAGTTTTTATCGAGAATAATTTAATAAAAATTTCTCAAGGCTATGAATAGCTGAAAGAGTCAAAATACTCCGAAATTGTTAACATTCATTGTAAATGCTAATATAAATATTTGTTGAAAATGTCAAAGGTTAGTTTTTGAGGTAAATCAAAGAAAAAATCGATCTTTTCTAAAATTACTTGGAATTTTCAATTTTTACAACCCAAAAGTACCAATTAAATTCACTTTTGTATGAGAAAAGATGGTGTTCTCGAAAATCGGAGAGTATTTACTATCCAAAATGTTACTGACAAATAGAAAAAAAAACACATCATTGTAAAATCAATACATTCTTTAACTCCGCTCAGAATCTAAAATACATTTTATAATAATATAATTAATATGAGTATTGAGTCGGTACCTAATATTATATATTATTGTTTAAAAAAATTACTTGTGTGTTGGAAAAATTATATAAGACATTAAATCCTTGTATTGACGTATTGTACCTGTATATTTTGTATAAGGTAGGTATATCATAATTTAAAAATTCTAATAATTTATATATTTAATATCAACGAAACTGTAAGTAATCATTTTTAACCATATCGTAGGTCTAAAATACCATACCATAGGGCATAGATCATAGTTCGGATCTTTAGTTTTAGGGAATAGGGACCCAACTAGTATAATAGCAGGTACTTAAAATAATTCGGGACCCAACTAGTATAGTACCTGCGATGAGCTCCCAGTACTTAGGTTTTTGGAACAACTTGGATTCACCGTCCTAATCCAATGCAATATAATATAGCCTGTCTGTGGGATAGGTACTAGCTCTGGTAGTCTGTTCAAATCGTCACTGCTAAATTGGATTAAATATAGTGAATACAGAATAACATAATGAGATAATAATGTATAGGTTATTATAATAATTATTTATTATTATCTAGATATTTTTGCGTTATGTAAATAAAAATACATAATATACAATATAACTATTTTGTGGAATTTTTATAGTTAATAATATTGAGTTAAACAAATAGCAATCCTTGGATAGTTTGATCTCAGGCATGTCTTACAGCTAAACCGTGATGGTGGGTAGGTACCAAGAGTGAAGAGGATACTGTTAAAGTATTTATATACAAATATAAACTTTAATTATAGTTTAGAACTATATTTAATATCAATTTGCTAACACAGCCGAAATCATTTTATCAATTCAAATAATAATATAGAAATAGATTTTCAGTTGATTGTTATCAAGTTCCAAGACTCACTGTTAGATCCATTAGAAATATAAGATCTAAAACTCTAAAATAAATAAACAAACGCTGCTTCTAATAACGCCCAGTAGTCACGTCAAGCTATATGACACGATTGCTCTGCGGTTACATTAGTTGCTACATTTCAACCCATGTAATACAATAATATAGTAATAGGTATTAAAGTAATACATAATAATTGATAAGAATAATTCATTTTTAAGAAAAATGTATGCTGTATTATCTATAACCATGAATAATTATTAGTTGTATAGGCATCTTGTAAGTTTTTTTGTTATTCATACTTATGCAAGGTAATTTAACAAGCATGCTCATCCCTTTTTTCTTCAATAATAAAGTTATTAAAAAATTAAAAATTTTAATTTTAATTAATAATAAAGACTATAATTTTAAATCCATTAGGTTTATTTTACAACTGAAGGAGTGTTCTAAAAAGATACAAACTTCTATTTTGAAATGAGAACCCCACTTTTTTACTGTAAATTATTTAATATTTAGTGGAAAATTGTTTACATATCAACACAAAAATTTTAATGAGTTGTTGTTGAGAAAATTAATTTAACTTTCTATCCTATACAATGGATAATAGGTTCATGAAACTGGGTTTGGAAAATACAGGGCTGTTATGGCAAGATGAAAATTTAAGTGATTAATATTAATCTATCAACATGAATAATTTGTAAAAACATAGTCCAAGTATAATAGTTAATAAATACTAGATTCAATAATTATTTTATATAATAAATTGTTGTACAGCTATTTTTAAAGACTATAATTTTTAGTATAAAGATCTTAATAACTGAGAAACTACTCATAAAAACTTTTCACTAGGTACAGCTAAATTTTCAAAATAAAAGTTTGTAACACCACAGGACACAAATCTCGGGAAGTTAGTTTAATAATAGAAATAAGTTCCATATTAATTATAAAAACATAGCAATAGGTACATTGGACTAACTATTTTTTTATAGAAATAGGTCAGTCCAATTAAAAAAAAAAAAAAAAATTGTAACTGATTACCCCCACAGTGACAATTTGAGGGAGGTAGCTTAAATCAAATTATATTAACTTTAAATTATAAATTAAGTTTGTTATATATTCAAAATCATACATTTTTATGATTAAAATTATTTGCTACTTATTTTAAATATTATTTTTTATTTTATAAACATAAAGAACACGGCGGTCTGGCCATTGGTCACCTTTTAAATATTGTTTTAGTACGGAACAATACATATTATACTAGATTTTTCAAATGTATGTTCATTTGCAAATCAGCAGAATCAATATCTAATTGAAAAATATACTAAAAGGTTCATTTTTAATACATATATTTTAATGAAGGTACTAACTACATATAGACAGATGATTATTTATCCACCCATGGGTTACAATTAAGAAAAGATATATAGATGTAAATAATCATATTAAAAACATAATCATTTTTCCCATATAATATTATTACATTTTTGTTTAATTAAACATAAAAAAAAATTGTAAAAAAAAATTATTTTAGGTGGGGAGGGGGAGCGTATAATACATTTTTCGTTTTGTATAAAATAAACATAAAAAAAAAAATATTTAACTCAAAATAATAAATTATTACACTTGATATTTATGATCAAAATAAAACCTTACTCAGAAAAAAAAAATGATGTCTGAAACTATTGAATAAACAAAGGGTTGAAGGGCTTAAAAGGAGAAAATGATACGTCTGTATGATCACCATTCTCCCAATGGGTAATGCTTATTAACGACTAAAGACAGGTCGTCAAAGTGTAAATGCAGACATGACATTAAGTCAGTTGGAGTTCCAATAGGGAGTAGCTCCTTGGCTATAGTTCTGTTTAACATTCACCTTGCTGGCTGTAGGATTTACGGATTGATTACGGCTCATATTGCCTGTTCCATTGCTGAGTTCTTGCTGAAATCATACAAAATCAAATCAACAATAAATAATAAATACCATAATGTGTTATAATATATTATATAACATATTTTTTTGCTTACCCCTTGCCTGTTCTGAACTCTCATATCAATCTAATATCAACAAATATAAATTGAAATTAAGTTTTATACTAAAACAAACTATGAAAGAACAGAAATATTTTTAATTCAAACCTGATGGTGCAAAGGTGCGATATGATGAGGCTGTGGGTTTCCAGGGGGCAGAGGAGAAATGAATACTGGAGCATAACTACCCGCACTATGATGACCGCCAACTCCACCATTATTTAAAGTTACAGAAAACGGTGGCGGAGACTGAAATGACTGTTGTTGTTTATCATAAGGCTAAATAAAAAAAAATTATTAGCTTTGATTAGTCTTTCATGTAATTAATTTGATCATAATATATGTTATAATTATTATATAATCACACTAACCTTATTTAATGTCGATTTGCTGGAATACATAGCTGCGAGATCAGACGAATTTGTCTTGCCCTGAGCTTGAGATGTCTGTTGACCGGACACTCCCACTTTGCTTGAACTTCCATAGTCATTGCTTGAACCAGTGACTGAAGACGATCCCAGAGTTTCATAAACATTGCTATAACCAGCAGGTGCAGCTGCAGTCTTATTGTACCCGGACATTGTGTTTGTAGCTCCTGTGCCATGACTGGTTGCACTTGCTGCTGGCGCCATCTGATAACGAACCGCGTCGGTGTGTTTTTTCAGTGTTTCATTTTATTATTTATTTATTTTATATATTAAAATAAACATTCATAAGAGTTTTATACTGATATTATCTTTTTTTTTTTTTTTTTTGAATTAATAACCCAAAAAGAAAAAAAATTATATATTGATGCATAAATATAAATATACTATATAATATGTATATAAAAAATTATATGCAATATTGTTTATGTATATATACACTTATTACTGTTTTTAGTTTTTACGAAAAAGGAATAAACAAAATGTTTGCTCCCCCAAATCCTGAGAAATTTTTGATTCAATTTTTTACAACTAATACTAAGGAAAAGGATGTCAAAATAAGTTGAAACTGGATAAGGTGATTTGGATGATTAAACATTCATCAAGTATTTTGTTCGTCCGTTGTGTAGCAATAGATCTAACAAAAAGAAAAAAAGAAAAAATCATACAGAAATATGCTTAAGAACCGAAGTTGCAATAAAATTAAAGTGGTGATTTCAAATACACACCCTTATTTACATCTTAAATCTGTTTCTTAGAATTGAACCTTAAAATGTGTTAATAAATATATTAAGTTAATCGTTTCTTATTTGGTAAGTGAATAGTATATGATAATTAATAATATATATATATATATATATATATATATATATATAATTTATAGTATATTAATACTCAATAGTTCAATATGAGAAGGAAACTCTTTGACAATGAGTTATTGTCAGACTGTCAAATGGTATTAAGTCAGATGGTATATGATGCTCACCAGCCGCCTGTAAAGAAGCAGGCTGTCGAGGTTCCTTCTTATATTAAACATAAAAGATACATTAATATGTTTCAACTCTATTAATTCTGTCACAAGAATAATTAACTAAAAAATAATAAAAATAATTTCTGCAAAGTATAAAAAAATTACAACATTTTAAATTGTAAATATTAATTGAAATAATAATTTTTTATAATGAAGAAATATGTGACCAATGAGTGACACAATCAGTTTTTGTAAACCTAAGACGAATAACTCGAGAAATTTCAAATTGTTCAGATTCATTCCGAATGCCTTACAGAGGTAAAAATATGATATATTGATAATACACATAAAATTGAGTTGGAATACTTCACATTTTATGAGACCTTTAGGACCAGTTAAAGATTTTTTAATTATAAAAAAGAAATGAAGTTGTTTGTATAAAATATTTTTTTTTAGTTTTAAAGGTTAGAAATAAAGGCACAAATAACCAAATGTTTAAGCAATTGTTACAAGGTATTTTAAAATATATTACATTAATATTTAAAAAGTAATAAAAATGTATTTAAAATATTAAATAATTATCAGAAAAAAATAGTAAAAATAAATTCATAAATGAAGGAATTATTTTTGTTTCCTGTAGATTTTCAGATATTAAGATCAATGTAAAAATAATCAATAGTTACTTCATATAAATTATATAATACACTATTTTTTGAAATACCAAATTACCACCATGCAATTTGAGGATTATAAAAAACTAAATTTTACAATTCAAAGAATGTAAATTATAGTTTTTTTTTAAAAATATTTTTAGTATTTTGATTTTTGATTTATAGTTAATTTTTTTTTTATCATAACACAATATTAATATTTTCAAGGATTATTGAAGTACAATTGAATAAATATAACAGCCTCAGTATTAACTAACCAACTTAGATATTATGTTTAGTCTTCAAATCAGTTACAACTAGCATACTAACATAACTCCATATTTACATATTATGTTACTAAATCTTATAAGTATTAAGTAATTCCTAATTTATAACTTCAGATGCTAAATAAATTGAGTTAAAATATTTTAAGTGAATTATTATACAAATATAATATTGAAACAAATATCCATATAGTAACCAATTTAAATCAAAGAATTTAAAAATAACAACCAAGTTATTAATTAAATACATTTTTGTTTATAGCATAATTTTAACAAATTAAGTACATTAACAGCATTGTTAATCATTATAATTTTATTATTTATGATTTAAGGAAGCAAAAATAGTTCTGTGATCTTAAAAAATATGTATTTTGAATATAGATTAATTAACTTACCGGGTACATTGTACCATACTGGAACGGATTAGCAGGTATGACCGATTGCCCATAATAATATGTATAACTGGGAGTAATAGGTGGATTTAACAAAGTTTGCTGATGAGCCAAAGTTCCCGTCTAAAGATAAATTCAAAATGTATTATGTCAAACAATTTTATTTCATTAATAATAAATAATAATAGGAATGAAACAAATGCAATGTTATAAAGCATTTTATAGTTCATATAATTTACATCAAATGCACAAACTCATTCCACATACTGTTAGCGACAATAATTGCTTAGATAATTTTGATGGCTTATAAATTTAATCAACGTAACAAATAAATTGCTAGATAATTTATTAAATATTGTCTCTCATAAGACTCATGAAATGTTCACTAAATATTTATATTAGCATTTTCCATACATGCTAACATTTTCAAACTACAGTGGAACCTTGATTATCCGGGGTAATGGTGGGGAGGAGGTCAAACGGATAAATGAAAATCACGGTTAATCGAGACTTTATATAATAATACAATTTTTTATTTAATTATAATTAGAAATACATAGGTACAATTTTATTCGTTAGTCGCGCTAGTGTATGTTGTGTCGTTCGTCACATGCGTCTTTTTGACAGCGTTATAATTTTTAAGAATATAATTGTGATATCTCAGTGATGGGTCCTTTTCGAAATTGTTTGATTAAATATTATGATATTTTTATTTTTATTATTGACTGCTGCTGTTATTATCGTGATTATAAAGTAAACGAAAGCAATATTACCATTAGGGATGGCAAAATATCGATATATCGAAAAAACAAAATTAAAATAATTAATTAAAAAAAATAATAAAATTAAGGCAAATGAATCCCTGTCAATGAAGTGGGTTGAATTTAGTTCAATTTGTGATTGATGTAGCAACGCATATGGGCCACGACCGTGACAGACCTGGTACTTTGGAGAGATTTAAAACTATATTATGCGGCGATGGAAATTACGACAATCAGGCGTTGCAGGTAACTGCGATCGTGGATGACAATTTCGGTGATTGTTAGTCCTCGTGCAAATTTCGAATTCACGTGTCATGTGAAATACATATTTATTCAAAATATATATCCGTGTCACGGATACACGGGTGCAAAAAAACACTTGTTCCATTGAGACCTCTAATATCTACAGTCCATACTTATTTTTAAATTTTCGGAAGAGTGAGCACGGTTAATCGCGAATACAGATAACCGAGTCACGGATAATCGAGGTTCTACTGTATTTGATTCGTTTTGAGCTACTTATTGCCATGATCATTTTTTTTCAATTTTTTCAATTATTTTACAGTTAGAAATTCATAAAAGATTTTCTTTTCATAGCTAACATTAGAAATTTAAATAGAAGGTTCCCAACAAGATTTTCTATCTCTATAAAAAATAAAGAGTTCACCGGAAAGTGACGTTACTTATAGCTTTGAGATATGTTAGATTTTTATTAAAAAATTGTGTAACTATTAAATTTGATTATTTATACAAGTATGACATGTTCAGAATTTTTTGTAAACAATGATTTATCATTGAATTCAAATATAACACACCCATTACAAGACATGCTCGACAACTAATGTTCAGTAGAGCGGTACCTACTTGTCCACCTTTTTTTGAAATTGATTTTATGTAATATAAAATTATTCAAACATCATTAAATGCACTAATTAAATAAATGTTGTAACCCATACACCATCCTGGATTTTTTAATTAGATTTATTTGTATATAAAAATATTTAAAAAAAATGAACACTATATTAGCACAGAGCTATTATATGATGAGTACTTGTCAAACAGAATTTTAGAATTAAGGTGCATACACTGTAACGGTGGCGGTAAATTGTGTCCAGCTGTATTTTCAACTCTACATTTGTATCCTAATAAAATAATATTGTTTTGGGCATTCAGTGTATAAATATATTACCTGCTGAGATAGAGTAGATGAAACTGGTGAAGCATTATCTGTACGTGCATATCTTGAATCGGTTAGTGATGAATAACCTGCAACATTTGAAATACCGGTTCCAGCAGTTTCTCTTCCCGTCAGACTTGATGATACACTAGGATACATTGGATCGGGCGAATAAAAGTTAGTCTGAAATTAGTTATATAATATTATATCATTTTTAGTTTGTTTCTTAATTGTTATATATTTTACCATATGATGAGGTAACCTTGATTGTACCATTTGTAAATGTTCCTCGCTATACATTACAGGATGAGATTGGTGATAGTATCCGGGAATACCCTGTTGGCTTAATATATACTGAGCACCAACAAGTGGAGCAACACCAGGAGGCATTCCTGATAGTACACCACTTTTATTTGCTAAAATAATTTAAAACAATGTAAATTATTTTAAATTTATAATAAAAATTGAAGTATAATAAATGGAATTCTTGAAATTTTTTATAAGAGTTTCTTAAATTACTGAACCTAAGGAATCCTTCAAGCAAATAAAAAAGACCAAAATTATACAAATTAAATTCTTACTTGTAGGTGTAGTCGTTTTTGAAGTCAATAAAGTACTCTGTGCGAGTCCAATGCTTGACGTTGAACCACTTAGATTATTTCCATTTGGATTACTAGCACTTGATGTCAATGAGTTATTTGAAGGTTGAGACTGGTCATACTTAAAAAAAAAAATGTTTTTATTCAAGATAAGAAACACTTATTTTATCAACAAGTTTTTAAGTTTTAAAAAATATTATTTTTTCTATGATTTAAAGAGACAAAACAACTTTTTTTAATTTACTGAGAATTTTTATATGTAAAAATTAAATTTTGAACAACTAAATAATTAGTTTTAAAGATGTATCTTTAACATCTTGATGTTTGTTATTTCTATCTTGTATTTAAATACTTTTTTCTTTGGTATATTTAGTTATTGATTTGGATTGAGATACTAGATGAAAATGTAGATACACATTTTGTTTGTAAATTATTAATTAAACAAATAATTAATAATTGACTGATTTAAGCTATAGATTCTGATCGGTTTTCAGAAGGTAGGAATTTCAAGAAAACGTATACTTAGACTTAAGGAACTTTCGATTAATCGACAGTAGCATTGATTTTTTTTAAAAGTAGTCGCTACCGATTAATCAAAATGCGACTGTACATTGTAAATTAATTGAAAAACTATAGAATAGAAAGTTATTTCACATGTACTATAAAGAAAAAAGTTTTTTTTTAATGTTTTTTCTTTGTTTGTTGAAGAATTCAATATCGCACAAAACAAAACGATATTGATATTCAAAAATATATCGATAAAAAAGCCTAAAACCTACCAAAAAAGAAAATTTATATATTCTCAGTGGCCAAAATTAGACATGATTTGCAATAACATAGAATAGACTAAAGTGCAAACTGATCATAGATACTCTATGTACAACTTAGGAACATATAACACCAACAAATTTTGATTAATTGAGAAGTTTCTTAAAACAGTAGGATATTTGAAGGAGAAGCAGGCCCGAAAAGAGTAAAGCAATGGAGATACAAAACATAAGGGAAAGTAACGAGAACAACACTGTAGTAATTTAAACAGAAGAATTACATGGAAGAAAAACTCTTCCTTGAAACCTTTGGATAACAATTTATTAAACAAATTAAAGTAGGATGTGGACAAATAAGAAAAAAATTGTTTAACTGTGGATTGTCAGGAATAAGGATGATAAGTGTGCATGTGGAAGAATACAATACACGATTAACATAAATGTCCTAATTTTGAAGGGACGTGTGGCAAAGAAGTGGACAATATTAATAATCTGCTATAAATGGACATCTTACTGAAGGATAAGATATATTGTAAAAACCGGACACGAGAAGAAGTAGTTTTAAATGTTACTTGTTAGTTATTTTAGGCCTTTAGTAAGCTTTCGTACTCATATATGTTTATTAAAGTATCTTTCTCAACCCAGGGTTAAGTATTAAAAGTTAAAATGAGCAGGGGTAAGCCGACATTATTTGGGCCACTCCACTCCACTTTAAATACCTACTAGCAACTAATCAACAAGATGTTCAAAAATAATTAAATAATTATTAAATAAATTAAAGATTTTAGAAAATATATTTTTTGTTTTAATAATATTGTTTTATATTGAAATTTACTTACCAGACTATCTTTAGTAGAATTAGTAGTTGAAGTCAACGAAACAGTTGATTTAGACAAGTTTGTATTCCCAGTTTGATGTAAATTTTGGTGTATATAATTGGAGTAAGTTGATGGGGTATACATTGATGCTAAATTGGCAGCTGAACAAGAGGAGGATAGGAAATTCCAGATGCCTGATATGAGTGAGGATTTGGGTATGAATAAGAAGGGAACTGAGGTTGTGCTGCTGTTTGAGGGTAATTAGCATTTAAAATTGAATGATTAGACTGAGACAATTGAGGAATGTGGGGATTTGTACTATTTACACCAATGTTGGATGCAGTTGTACCATACAAACTTGTATGACTGGATAAACCCTAAAAAAATTGTTTTAATTAGTATATCTTTACAAAAATGAAAAGTGTAATTTTGATTGTTTTTAAGTTCCGCTTAAACAGGTTTTCAAAATCACCATTTTATAATATTGTCCTATGTTATCAAGTTTTTGCTTAAAAACCTTTGAATTGCTATGTGCTGCAATCAGCTTTTTCAAAGTTTAGTAAGTTTGATGTTTATAAAAAAATACCAACAAAAACACAATAATACAGGGAACCAAAAACTAAGTTTTAAAAAGAATAGTATACATACTTGAAGGATTATTAGAATAAAACGGAAGAATTATACATTGATGTTGGTTGTCCAGTATTGATATTTTGGTAATGACTTGAGCAACTGGCAGCGTCTGTTAGTTAAATAAATCAGCAGGAGGAAGGAACACAGGGGGGGGCGGCCCAATTTAGTTGAATGGCTGAGGGCTCTTGATTTATTGAGGGATCGTTTGAGTTTGAAACCGCAGCTTAATTAGAAATTGTTGAATATTCATTTGCGTTAGGGACGAGATCTACGTTCTGAGCAACCGAGTCATCATAGTTAAGCAACATGTGGCAAGATTTTGATCCTGTGATGGATCACAAAGTTGTGGTACATCACCAGAAAGATCGACGGCACCAAACGATACATCTAAGAAGTTGATATTGACACTAGAATCATCAGGTGGCATTTCAACAGCACTTAATGGTATCTTAGAAGGAGGGGGTATGCGAGCACGTAAGGTTGGTTTCTTCCCAGGTCCCATTGAATTCTCTTCAAAAGGTGAAGAAACAAATTCCACTAAACCATAAAAATGTATATGAATATTTTTAAATTGATTATAAAATAATAGTATCCACCTATTTATATTTTACCTGGAGGATGGGAATTGTATGTAGTAAGCAGCAGCCGGTGGTAGGGTTACTACTTTTTTTTGTTGCCTCTCTTTGTTAACGAGGACAAATACTGGGACTGTTCAGGTGTTAACGCTTTACTGTTGGCAATTGAAGCCGCAAGTTTCTCAGAAGCTGCATTCTGGTAGTTTATATAAAAATAATAAATTAAATAAATATAAATAAAATATAATAAATATAAATTTATAATATAATACAAATATTTTTGAATAATTACATTAGCAGCTGCTGCTTGCTGATTCGGTGCTTGCACAGCATCATTCCAATCTTCAACTTCTAAATATGCATTTTCATTTGGTTTTGGTACTTCAACTTCATTGGTAACAGTACTCTCAGTACCACCACTAGGAGTAAATACTTTAGTGTCAGCCAACGAACCAGTGTACTCTTCGTTGTCCCAGTCTTCGGGTGATGGAAATGTACCCCAATTTTCTAATAAATAAATCGATAAACCAGAGTTTAAAAAAAGTATAGAAATTTTTCAAGTATATAAAAGATTAAATATCAGAAGAATATTATAGTTATTAACTTATAAGTCAATAACATGTATTGTAGAATGGTATGGTCAAAAGTTTTATGAAAATATTATTTCATCACATTATGGAATCAAGTTTCAAGGCCCTATGCTAAATTTTTATTTTAATCACAAAATAATAGGTATAGCCATAATTAACTGATCAAAAATTCTCAGATTTGTTGATAGAAAATTACATATTATAAAATGTTATAAGCACCATCACTCGAATTCCAAAACTTAAATACAATTGAAATTAAACTGTTTAAAAATTATTTTGATTTTCTGGAAGTCATCATTAATCCTGTTAAATAATTAATATTTTAAAATTTCCAAAATTAGAATGCTGTTTCTGGGGAATTCTTAGAAAAAATTTAATTTGCATTTAAATCTTTGCCTAAGTTATTACTTTATAGTTAATAAATACAATTTTTATAACTAGTTTTTTGTTAATCATCTTTTGACACAACAATGTTTTAAACGCTTTATTTAATACCATTTAACTTTAATAATTTAATAATCAGGACTTGTCAATTGTCAACTTGAAATAAAAGCTATAAGTATCTCAATAATATTCACTTAAATCATTCATATAAAGGGTTGAATATGCACTAAAAATGCTAAAATAAGCAGAAAAATATATTGATAGCAAAAAAAACAAATTATATTATTTTTTCTATTAAAATCAAGAACTACTGAAATTATAAATAGGTGTGATTGAGTAATCTGCATAAATAACGCGAAACAAGATAACACTTTTTCTTTATTATTGACGGAATTACAAAAATAGCTAAACGGCAACTCATCAATCTCATGTTAAAAATATGTCAAATTATTATTATATAAATATAAATTGATAAAACTGATTTTTACTTTCAAAAGACCGTATTAACATAAAATAGTGCTAAAAGCATATAATTTGGAATATGTCAAATATGCAATAGTTAGAAGTCCACTAGTCCCCATTAATTATTTTTGATTTAAATACTTATTTGTAACTGATTTTAAATTATATAAATATTACATAAGCTGATCATCTTATGCTAATAATATTCATCAGATAATTTAATATTAAAAATTATTCAACTTATAAATATATCTTATAATTTTATAATATTTATCATGGTATTTTTAGACAATGTATATTATGGATACCTACAAAAAAACTTAATATTTACATTATAAATAGATTTAATTATAACATTAGTCATAATATGTTATCAGTGTTATAAATATGTATATTGATATAAAATAAGTTAGAAATAACCAATAAGTAAATTAGTATAATCTCTAGTAATTAAAATGTTATGATTTGGAATTGCCATATAATACATTTGAAAAAATGTGAAGAAAATCCCTACAGTTATACAACCATAGAAATTAAATATTTATTTATTTAATATTTTAATTTTAGTCTTTAATTTAAGCTGTTAAGCCATATAAGGAAAAATTAAATTAAAATATATAATTAAAGCCTTCAAGCATAACTTATTAAACAATGAGCACTCACAAATTACAAAAAAAAAAATCACTTCTTTCAATTTTTAAAAGTACCTACAACATGCAATGCTAAGATTTATGAACATGATTACTGTGGCATCAAATTTCATTAATATTATATTATTTTATTAATTGATTTATATTACCTTTCTTTGATTCTTTGGCAGTAGGATTGAACCATGTGTCAATTGGTTGACTAAATCCACTATTATTGGCACCACCTGGTCCTGAATTACCACGTTCACTGTTTTGGAACATGCGAGTACCTCTAGAACGACCATTATAACGTGGTCCATTCATGCCTCTTCTTGAGCCTCGACTATCAGAACGGAAGTTACGATTTTCACCACTAGCACCATCTTCAGCTAAATTCTTTTCATTTTCTTTGTTCTCACGTTCTCTCCCTGTAAACATTGAATAAAATAAGTGTATTCAAAACAAGAGAAAATTACACTGACATTTACGTGACTCTCCAAATCGCTGACCACCTTCGGTTGGTCTAGGCCTATTAGTAAAGCCTCCTCGGCCACCACGGCCACGACCTCGTCTCTCACTAAATCCGCCATTGTTTTGAGCAGTAATACTAGCTGCTTGTGTAATGGTTTCGTCCCATTCAGCATCTAGTTGGATAAAATAATATTTATAACAATAAATAAACTGAGAAATGTAATTCACAATAACAATATTAATAACTACCTCCATCTGCTTCACCATTTTTCATCAAATCGTCTTTTTCTTTTTTGTTTACGCTACTAGCTCGATTTTTTTTCTTCTTGCCTGTGGTTGACCATGATTCCTAACAGCAAATATGGTAAATTAAGTTGGATTAAGATATCTAAGGAAAATACAACACTAATGATTTATAATTTTAACTTAAGTATACCTGTGGTCCTTCCAAAAGTGCATCAATAGTTAATGCAATATCTAAAGCATTATCATGGAGCGCGATAACTACTTCATCTTCTGTTTTTTGAGTTATTTGCATCACCTAAATATAAGACATTTTATATTATATAACTGATAAGTTAATGTACCTACTTATTTTATTATTAAAAAAAAATAATAATAATAATAACAAAACACACCTGTTTTATTTTGTTGTTTATTTCTTCATCAGGCTTCAGATCAATAATTTTAGCAATCCTAAGTTGCTCTGCTGTTGGCTAAAATAAAAATGTATATTAAAAAAAATAGAAATTTAAATGTGTCAAGCTATAGAAAGTATATTTATAACTATACAATTAGGAATCCAATTTCAAGAAAATAAAAATATTAAATGCCAGATCCTAAGCAGATGTTTAAGTTAAAGGTTCACAAAAAAAAAAAAAAGTATCAAAAAAATGTATGCTTAATCACAATCGATACTTGTTAGTTTTATTTCTATACCTAACTCCATGTTATTTTAAATTTTGGAACTATCCATTTACATTTATACCTACTGTAGGAGGGTACAATGAAAATATAAATATTTTAAGTTTAAATAACTTTCTTTCCATTTTTTATATAGGTACAGTGATTCACCAAGCATGCTATTTTCCATTTTTTCATCAACAATGCAGTTATTAATAATCAGATCTGATATTCTACATGCATGAACTCCCTTTTTCAATATTTTAATCTCATACTTTATAACAGGGGTCTCCAAACTATGTGGCCCGCAAAGGAAAATATAGATAAAAAAATTATTTCAAAAATGTATTTATATTATATTATATTTATACCTATTTATTTTTATTTAAGTATATTGTAAAGTAAACAATATTTTATACAAAAATATAAAGTAAACATATTATTTATACAGGTAGGTACCTAATATATTATCATAAAATTAAAAATGATATGTGTTAATAAACTTTTGGCCCGCTAAGAGCATTTGATTTTTTTTGTGGCCCTTGAATAAAAAAGTTTGGAGACCCCTGCTTTATAATATAAATTCAAAAATTTTACTATTTTAAGCGTTTTTTTATAAATTAATTATACAATTATTTTAAATAAAATAAAAAATTGGATTTTGATGCGACCTATAGGCAGTATTTTTCTTTCAGATAAAAAAATTAGTCATCAAAATTTGACAATTCTACGAGGCCTGAGAATTATTCCCGTGATGTCATATTCTTAGATTTTATATCACCCTATGAACTCTCCCTCAAAAGCAGTGTTTGGAAGGAACGAGTTCCAAAAGGAACGGATTCCTGGAACGAAGTCCTTTTTTAAGGAACGGCACGTTGAACGAATTCCTTTTTATAAAAAAAGAACGAGGAAATGAACGAGTTCTTTTTTTCAAGGAAAAAGAACGAAATTTTTGGTTCCTTTCAAGTTCCAATTTACACAGATATATAAATAATTGAAATTGAAATATTTTTTATCTTAGTGTGTATATTTCCAATATTATGATTGTTATCGACTATCGAGTATCCGAGTATCAAACTTAATAGTTAAAGTTAGTCATTAATCATTAGGTAGGTACTCTGGTACAGGGTACTCATTACTTATTAGTCATTAGTAACTTTATTAATATTTCTCATAAGTCATAACTCATAAGTTATAACTTAATATATAGAAATGGGTATATACTATTATATTATTACATTATTACTATATAAAATATAAATCCTTGTTGTTGCGTCGACGGAAAATAAAATAGCATGAATACTGAAGACTGAACAATAAAATAATTTATGAATTATTATGCGGGTCGGGACTATTTTAATACCTAGTACCTACAGCTAAAATGTATAATAATATATTACTATATTAATAAGACGTTACAATATTATTTTAATGACAGTTGGCATACGTTGGTCATCAATTTAATTTTAAAGAAAATCTCAAAATAGATTACTAAAAGCTGCAGTCAGTATTATTTTCTTAAACTTAATAGTAAATTATAAATTTACTTGTATAGGTACCTATGTATAGGTATAATTAAAAATTAAAGTACCTAAGTATATCTGTTAAAAAAGGAACTAGTTCTTTTTCCAAAGGAACGACAAAGGAAAGAATTCTTTTTTTTTAATAAGGAACAAGGAACGGAACGAATTCCTTTTTTTTAAAAAGGAACAAGGAACGGAACGAATTCCTTTTTATAAGGAACTTGACAAACACTGCTCAAAAGGTATCGGGCGGTTAATTAGAAAAAATGTATTATAATTAAGGTGGCAACTAAAATGTATTATTGATTTAAATTCTAAAATTCTAACATAATGTAACAATTATTATTATAAAGTATAAGGTATAAACAATATCAAGGATCCATGAGTATATGTTTATAAGTACCTAAGTTTAACTGATAACACTAATTTTAATGCATTTAAGTCTAAAAGACTGATAGGAGTTAAATTTAAATTAATTCAATGTTTAAAAATGTGCAGACAATATCACCGTACAGAATATGGGCGTGAGCTACAAATTAAATTTAGGTACCTGCAATTTTTCTTTTTCGTGTGTTTTGTTTTGTACTGCATCTTTTGTGTCAGCATTCTGTAAAGCTGTGTTGGTAGCGCTATTCTTACCAGACGTCTTGGCGTTGCGATTTACAACACCTTTAACGCTGCTCATTATAATGTATTTATATTTTCGCTTATGGTTCACCTATTCCTTATGTACAACGGTATTTACAGGGTAATCTGAAAACATAAAAAAAAACAGTTGAGTAGTGTCGACACAATCGCTGCAAGGTTAAGAGTAAAACTGGCAAATAAGCGGTATATGTTTGAAGAACGACTGATCAAACGGCAAACACTGCAAGCACCCCCTCACAAAGAGCGACAAAAATATAAATATATACATGTATACAATGACACAGGTAAAGCGGTGAATCAACTCTACGACTATCACAACAATAATAACAGTATTAAAAACAACAACAACAATAATGTAAACAATTACAGGTATGTGTCGTACAAAACGAAAAACGTGAAAAACCGACCGGACTCCCTTTGTCACACACGTCCAAAATTATTCTTTTCTCATATAAATACGTGTGAAACACACCGGCGGCGTCGATGACAAGGGTGGTGGTGGTGGTGGTGGTGATGGCGGTGAGGAGCGTTGCGGCGGCAGCGGCGTAGGCCGGGGGGTTGGTGGGGGGAGGGAGCAAAAACACGCCAAGGGAGCATATGTGCGGTTTGGCGCGATAATCGCGGAATTTTCAGATTCGGGGAAAGGTCGGAAAATCGCAAGCCCATCGGGCTTTTCCGATGCGTTGACATCGCCACCACACATCGGCGGTTCGGTCGGCGCGCCGCGGACATTGCGCGACGGCGTTCCGCGAGCGAAACATGTGGTGGGGACTGGCGCGCTGGAGAGACGACGGACCGACGCCATTCCGACGACCGAGAAATCGGCAGGAATCCCGGGGCCTGGCGTCCGCCGGAGCCGCGGACGACGAGCCGAGCGATTGCCGGGCCCGTCGCCCGACGAAATAATATGCTTTGAGACGTACTTACCAAAATACAATACACATTTAAAACTAAACACGGGAACGCGATCGATGCATTTAACCTCGGTATCAGACTAACATTATTTTTGTACACAAAATGTAAATAATGAAATAAAAATACACTGGTGTGCGTGTGTGTGTTCGTTTGTGTGTGTTTATGTGCCAGTGGAATAGTGTGCGTGCGTGTGCGGCGTGCGCAGTGAATGTGCGCGCGTGTACGCCGGCTAGAACGAGACGGACCGAACCGGCCGGCCGTCGGGCCGACAGAGACGCGGCGAGTCGTGGAAGAAACGGTGACGGCAGTACGCTACCGCGGACGGTACTCTTTCCGCCATGCCGTAACCGCGACCCGGATACCAGCACAATAATATTATTATATTGTAATGTTGTAGTTGTATTGTGTTCGGGGAAGACAAATGTTTTGTTTCGTACGCCTCTTCTCGTGTTCGGACACCGGTTTCCCGCGGGGTGCATCGCCCGCGGTGTTTACCATTCTGCCGTATTATTTCAGCTCTCTAGGGCAATCGGACGGCGGCTGTACGACCTAACCTATGGTTCGCGGCACCGTGTTTTTGAGTAGTTTTGACGAAAATACGAAATTAATACCATAATATTCCGGTTTTATAGCATTGTGGGTAGTTCTCGCGCCCGGCGCCAGATAGAGGTACCGCTACCGACGGCTGACGCCTGACACCGCTACATAATATTATAATATAATTATGGCAAATATTATGTACCCGACATCAGGGCGGCGGCTCCAGATACTTGGTTAGGGGGGAAGGGGGGCAAGTCAACATTTTCAGAAAATGTCGATGATTTTTTTTTTATTTTTGTTTTTAACAGTATAAAATTGTTTAGAAATACGCAGCTTAGGGGGTGGCCCCTAGCGACCCTCCGCCCCCCACCCCCGGAGCCACCACTGCCCCACATTATATTATAAGTATATTGTATTCGTATGTGTATACTAAAACTAGAGAGCTACGCCATGCCACTACTTCAAGATCTATAAAGAAGATTTTATACAATGCTGCACCGTGATGCCGTACACAATAACATAATATTAACATTAACAAATAACGACGTGACGACGTACCCACTACCAGATCGTTTTGTGTAGGTGACAGGTGTAATATTATATTTTTATAAGATATTCCTACAGTTAGAATATTGTATCTTTTATATGGGCAGGTAATCTATAAACTATAAATACCTACTTAAATACCTAGTATTCTAAGCGGAGTGATAAATGTACAGATTTTACAATGACGTGTTTGCTTATTTTCGGTGTGTGTCATCACTAGTGAACGGATTTGAATGCATATGGAATTTTTTATCTGAATGACCAAAAACATAGCTTTCCAAGCACAAAGTTCATTTCATATATCAAGGAATTAAAAAATGTAACTTTTATTTTGCATTTTTTGACATTTTTAGTGCATTTTTATGTAGGAATTGATAAAATTCGATTAAAATGTACCTAGTTAAGGGGACGTTACAATGACTTTTGTTGTCTCCGTCTTACAAGTGCGTATAACATAGCAAATTTTACGCTCAGCCAAACACGTTTATATCCAGTTAGTTTAAAAATTAGAGCGAATTGACCTCTTATAAAATTTAAAGGTAAGATTATTATCTAGACAATGACATAGGCTTTTTATTATAGTTTAATTTTAAAGCGAGTTATGAGCATTTTAAGATGTACAAACAGTTTACAATTTTAAAATACACATAACTCGCTTTAAAATTGAATTATAACATAAAGCCTATGGCATTGCCTAGATAATAATCTTGCCTTTAAATTTTATAAGAGGTCAATTCGCTCTAATTTTTAAACTATCGGGAGATAAACGTGTTTTGTCGAGAGTAAAATTTGCTATGTTACGCACTTGTAAGACAGAGAAAACAAATGTAACTGTAACGGCCCCCTTTAACAATGTTAACATTCATTATAAAAATAAATATTTATAATGTTTTTACCGATCAGATAAACCCTGATTCCAAACGAAATTATTGTTGACACTGTCTACAATGTACAATATTCAATGAACCTAGTTAACAATGTTAACATTCATTATAAATAAATAAAAATAGATATTTATAATGTTTTTACCGATTAGATACACCCTGATTCTATACGAAATTATTGTTGACACGTGTAGACACTAAGATATATACATATTACATACATACAAGTTACAACATATGCATACATACAAGTTACATGAAATTAGGTAAAGATAAGATAAGCTAGGTATTTATCTAAATCCTAATTTTGTATTGCACTGTTGATTTTCGCAGATTTATTTTGTTTATCTTTGTTTGTTCGACTAAGTTTTTGAAAATGCCTATGGCCAAAACTTCAGATGTTTGTCGTTTGCGTTCATACGTTCAACAATATGGGGAATCAATTTTTTTTACCGATGGAAGCATACTATTTTGAAAGGTTTGTCAGGTCAGAGTGGCAGCCGACAAAATATTACCGTGAAACCGTATTATTTATCAATTTTATTATAATCATAGAGATTACAAATTACAATCCATAGTGTAAGTCTGCAATGCTGTTTGGTGTAAACAATATAATATAATCTACTGGCTATTTTTATATTTATAGGAACACCCTATAATATCAGGGACATTTTCAGTTTTCAATTTTCTTAGTTTTTTTTTTTCGATGAATGAAAATAAAATTGTATTTGTTGGGTAAAAACTAAAAATGCTTGAACATTTAATACAAAGCTTCCACTATAATAGTGTTAAAATGTTATACAATGATATTATATCATTGAATTCAAATTTAACAACATCCATTACAGTGACCCATTTGTACCGCAGGGCTACTTGCCCACCTTTTTTTCAATGAATTTATAATTTTTCACAGTATAAATTAGTTTAAAATACAAATTAATTTAAAAAAAAAGATTTGATATCTTTGATAAGTTTAAAAAAGCAGTGTTTTTTGTGTAACTTCGAACACCATTGATTTAGTGTATAATAATAATTACAAATTTTTTTAGTCCTATTGTTAAGAGCCGGATTATCTTCTAGCCGGAATACTTTTGTACTTGGTCAATATTTGGTACTGGTGGTTAGTTGCCATGCCATCGGATCGGCATACTTGTACAAAATGATTTGTCACTGGTGCCGTTCCCGATGATTGTCGGTAAATCAAATAAGGAACAGCCAATATACTTGTACTACTGATCCCACGACCGGTTCGTGTAGACCAAGAAAAACAGTAGCATGATAACTTTGGTTCAGATGCGCCAAAGTTATAGTAGGTATTAATAATAAAAATTCTATAATTTAATAATTTTTTTATTGTACATTAATATATTAACAATTGTTAGGATTTTTTTGTTTATATAATTGACAATGATTTTATGCACATGTTTGAGATCGATGGTTGATCGATTAGAATTTTTTGTTAGAATTTTATATGACGTAAGTGTACTTACTTATACGTTTTATTATGAATTGTAATGTATGGGTACAATGTATTAAATACTCAAATAATATATGATATAGGTACTTACATAATATACAAATTAAATTAATAAAAAATAATAGCATTATTTTGGTATCATAGTACCTAACTAAGATGGTGTGTAAAATTACATTTTAAAATATTAATATTTATCTTGCCTATATAGGTACTTTTCGGTTTGTTGAAAAGTATGTAGCGAATTCATCTCGTATTAGGTATCTTAGTTTCCGCTCTGATTCTTCTCGGTATGTTACGAATGAGTAGTAAAGATGCCATGCTAATTTGTTCTTGTCGCTACGTACCAGCTAGGAATAATCTACCCTTTCTCATATTTGGTATCAAATATCCCATTTGGTGAATTTTTGAAGAGGAACTTTTACTTCTTCTTAAAAAATTATGTAACAATACACAGGTTAAGATAATATTAATAATTATTACATTTTCGGGTTCAAGTAACATTGGTTTTCTCATCACTTCAAATACCGAAGAAATTATTCCAAACGTATCCTGAAATTTAAATATTAAGAATAATTAATTTTAATTTGTAACTTTTAAGTATTTTCTAGTAATTTCTATATTGAGCGTTACTATTATAACTTAAAAGTTAAACGTTATAAGTTATAAGAATATATTATATAAATGAAAAAAAAACAATATTATCAAAAACGTTATTTGGAAACAATAGGAAAATAACGTTTTTAAAAACGTTAATCAAATACAATATGGAAAAATAAAGTTTTTAAAAAAGTAATAATCAAAAACGTTTTCCATCCATTTTTACAGATTTTAAATTTCAAATGTTGACAAATGTATCAAATGTTGAATTTATTTTTATATCTTTAAACATTGAATTTTAAAACAATAAGCTCCATGTAAGTAGTTCATTCTGTAACCAAAAAATCTAAAAAAATATGTAAACCGTTTTTTTTATAGATATTGTAAGTTCAAATTTGGATGTAGTTACATATTCTATTTTTTTAGGTCTAAAATATTCGTTATCTGTAATTACTATTTTAACTAACCTATGTGGTATATAATATTATCTACAATAAGGTATACAACTGTGAAATAACGTAAATATATAAATTAAGTACCTAGTTGATAGATAAATACACTGTGATAAAAAAAATAGTCCACTAGCTAATATAGTGGATAGTATAGAGTATTCTGATATAATAATAAATCATTTGGTCAATAATAACTGAATTATTACATTTATTTACAGATATCTATACTATGAGATTAAAATTGGCTTCTCTTTTTTTATGTAAAATGTTCGCTATATCTAGTATAACATAGATATTTATGTATATATTAAAAAAAAATCCAGGTTCCACAGGGGGGCCGCCCCACGTGCGCATGTTGAGGAGGGAAAACGCCTCTTAATAAGTCATGAGATGT